ACTCCTTTAATCCTCCTAACAGCCCTCTGAGGAAAGAGCTAGGATTGTCCTCACTTGACAGGTGAGGAGCCCAGGGTTCAGAGAGGTTAAGTAACTAGCCTGAGGTCACATAGCCACTGACGAGGTATACCAATTTCTAATCCCAGCACAGTGTCTGCAAATTCTGTGTTCTTGATGGCATTTGATTCATTTCTGTAGCTCTATGTGGGTCTGCTAATCCTAAGCAGTCTACCCAGCCTCCATTTTGTTACCTACAGTTCTATATTCCTAAAGCAAGGTCAGAACTGCCCGGTCATAGGAGCCCCGCCCCACAAGGTGCCTGTCAAATCAATTAAGAGCGCAAAGCTGGGTCACCCTGGGAAGGGTGCACATCAGGAGGTGTGACCAGGAACGGCCAGGGGACCGTCACCTCCTGTATAACAAGGGACCCCAGAAGCTGGCCAGTGGAAAGCTGTTGAAGGGATTGAAACCCTGATCCAGAAGCTTAGGGCTGGATCTCAGTGACAACACCAGCCATCCGCAGCTGAGAAGCAAACTCCGAATCCCTAATACAGTCGATGACAGGTCCACCTTTCCCCTTTTCCTTCTACTTCCTGTCTCCTTTTCTACTCCCCCTTAAAATTGATCCTAAGTGATCAGTTTACCAACAGAAAGGCCAGGCTCTTGCTTGAAGCAGCAGCCTGTGCCACATAGACTGCTCCACGACTCCGGTCTCTCCATCGGTGTAGTGCTGCCAGCCCACGACATCTCGGACACGCAGCCCAGCGGTGGCACAGGTCAACCGTCAAGACCGAGGTCAGCCAAGGGAATAGAATAATGAATTTCTTCACTGCCAGGTGTGTTTGTCGCTCCCTCTAAACACTGATCTTCTCGAAGAAAGGGTCGTGGACGCCAGTGCCCTCATTAAACAGTTTAAGCGAAACTTAACGACGGCAAAGCTTCCCAAATGCTGTGTTCGGTGTGTGAGCCACAGTACCTGGACAGTTGACAGAGGGTTTCAGAGTCCAGTGAGATGTCCAGGGAGAGACAGGGCCTGCTTTATGGCTGTGTGATCTGAGTTGTTACCCGGGTTCTGTACTGAAAATATCCCTAACAACTCACACACCTCCATTTGATGCTCCTTTGACACCATCTTGGAATTCCTTTTTTTTTTTTTTAAGATTTATTTATTTATGCATACAGAACTGGAGTACAGGCCAGAGGTGCGGTGGTGAGAGGATTCACCAGAGACAGAGCAGGGAGCAGAACAGGCAGATAGACAAAGTACACTGCTGAGGGGAGCAGCGGGCGAGTCAGGAAAGGTCTGCGGTGCCATGTGGGTCAGCTCCCTGGATGGGATTGAACTCCTGCTGCAGTGGCTTTGGAGAGCTTCATAATGTGGTGCTTTAACTTGTTGAGCCACAAGGGAAAGGGAGAGTCTCCATCTTGGAATTCTTAGTCAGTTTTGAGCAAGAGGCTCTAGGGTTTTACTTTGCAGTGGGCTCCACAAATGTCGAGGCCCTTCCCCCTCAGAGCGGATCAGTCTGTGGAAACGCCAACTGGAGAGGAGAGGGACTCCCGCCACTGTGTGCATGACCAAGGGGGAGCCTGGGCCATGCGGACATTCAGAGGGCAAACCCCAGGCCCAGCAGTTACGGCTGAGGCCCTGCTCCCACAGGGTCACCGGAATCTTATCGCCCAGCCCCAAGAGCTTCCTGAGACACGAGACACGCGGGCCCCAGACTCCAACAGCCTCAAGCAGCCACCAGGCAGCTTCTTCACCTCCCCCACTGAACTTCCGACCTGTCTTCATGTGCCTGGCTGCAGGTTAGCTGCAGGCCTGTATTCTATATTCTTTCATTGGATGCCCATTTCCACCCTGTAAAACACATTTTATCACATTTGAGATTTCAAGTTAAAAAAGAGGTGAGGGGCCCTCCCTGGTGGCACAACGGGTTAAAGCACAGCACTATGAAGCTATTGTAGCCACTGCAGCACAAGTTGGGGCCCCGGCCCAGGCGTAGGGGGGTGGGGGGGTGACCCATATGGGGTGGCAGACCTCTCCTGACCCACTATTTCAGTCCATCTGCCTGTTCTGCTCCCCACTCCATCTCTGGTGAATCCTCTCACCCCCTGCCCCTCTGGCCTATACCCCAGTTCTGTATGTATAAATAAATAAATCTTAAAAAAAAAAAAAAAAGGCGAGATCAAGTGGAGGAAATCAAGTTCTAAGAAACTTATTCTTAACCCATGGCCCCTACTGCCCTCTCACTGTTTAAAACAGGACTGCTTTCTCTCCACCTGGAAAGCCTCTCCCTTCTCTCCAAATCCTGCCATCTGCTCTTAATTCTGGAAAGTTGTAGAATCACGAGTCCAAGCCAGGCTACAACGTCAGGTTACTACTGACCCCATCAGATGCGTCCGCTCTCCTTGTCTGGGCCCGGCTCGGATGCCCCAGCTCACAGAAACACAGACCTGGAAGGACCTTTAGCCTTAGTTTCTCCATCTGTAAAATGGGAACAGCAAATTAAACCCACATCGCAGACCTGCCTGGGTTAAATGTAATGACAACGTCAAAGTGCTTTTTAACAATCCACAGGTATAAGCAGTTATTTCTACTAATTACAGGTGGTGAAACTAAAGCTTGTTAAACCTTGTGCAAAGGTACAAAGGTCATTCTGTCCCTCCCTTCACTTCATTGTGATCCAAGGTCAGCCACACCCTGGCCAGTCCATAAAGAATTGAAGAAATGCATCGCATCCTCGTGAACCACCAGGTAGGATTTCTCCTACAATGTCTTCAAAACTGTTTTGCCACTTCTCAGTGTGACCTGGCGCAGGTGACTTTCCCCTCCCAGTGTCGGGTTTCTCATCTGCCAAGTGGGGTTGATGGTGATAGTTGGGTTGCAGTGTGCCGGTGAGGGACCTAGCATAGCAGACTCATCTAGAAAAAGCCCTGATGGAAACAAGATTCCCTCCAAAGCAGCAGCCTCTTGAGCTTCATGATGGTTAATTTTTTGCGACATGTTTACTGGTTATGAGGTACAGAGTTAATGAAACATTCTCGAATATCTGTGAGGGTGTTTCTCAGATTAGCATTTAAATTGGCAGATGGTGAAGAGGATTGCCCTGACCAGAGCAGGGGAGCACCATCCAATCTGCTGGGCATCCCAAAGAGAACAGAAAGGTGGGGGGCTGTCAAATTCTTTCTCTCTGCTTCAGCTGGGACACCCACCTTGTCCAGCCCTCACACGTGAACATCGAAGATCCAGTTTCTCAAGCCCTCGAGACTCAACCATCACACTGTGGGCTTCTCTGCTTTGAGTTTGGGGAGGAAATACTCCAGCTTTCTGGGGCTCCATAGAGGCTACAGAGCTGCTCAACCCCCATAACCATGAGCCAATCCCTCATAATAAACCTCTTTCTCTCTGAATATGTATCCCAAGTTTCTGTTCCTCTGGAGAACTTGCCTGAAACACCCTTAAAGCATCTTCCTGGATGTTCTCTTCCCACTGAAGATGGACATTCCCAGAACTGGGGTGGACCACCTACTGATAATCCTAAATACGTCAACTTTCTGAATCTCTCTGTTTAGCCAAGCCTTGACAAACATCCCTGCATCTCCTGCAAGGACTTCCTCTCCCTTCATCACTCCTTGTCTTCACGCTGCCAAGTCTGTCCTGGTGGTAACTTGTGACCTGCTAACTCCAGTGTTGCTCATATCGATCCTTCACCTCCAAAGCCAACTTAGAAATTTCTCTTCTGGTTTTTCAATCTTTGCAGAAGAAGCAGGTGCTGAGCCTAATGAGGGACTGTGTCCCAGTGTGTGGGAGAGTCCCTTTAGATGTGGAGGGCCCCATTTTTTCACTCTACCCTCTCCCCCAACCACATTTTTCAAAGGAAAAGAAAACATCTCCATCAGAAACACGCATGCCAGTTTCAGATGTGCTCACTTTGTGACCTTGGGCAAGGGGCATCATGTCTCTACAGCACAGCTAACTGGGAACAGTCAAAGTGCTAGGAGGAATTAAAATCAAAATTCAATAGGTCTGTAGTAGGAATTAAATGAGATAATCAATACAAAGTGTCTAATACTGTTCCTGGCACTTAGTAAGTACTTAATAAATATAACTATTTTGTTGTCAATGAACTTGTTCCAAACCAGGGTAAGAATCTGACAGTTTTATTTGATCCATGACAGCAATAACCTAATTTTTCGTCACCATCACAAATAAAAGCAATGAACATATTCACAAAGTCAGTTGATATTTCAGCCAGGGCTGGCCTGCCAGTAGTCCCACTGTATCTTTCATTCTTGTCAGTGTTCTGTAGCTCTTTGCGAAAATTGTTTTAATTAGAAAACTACGCTCTACAGACCTTTGATATTTTAGGTGGCATAAATGATGGTTTCTTCCCTGACACCTGTCATTATTTGTAAGCCAATGTAATCATCCTTCACTTGCTAAGAGCTTTCATGGCAAATCAAGTGACAGGGCAGGGAGGGTGGTGTTGACTAGCAACAGATGTCACCGCCACTGATGTGACTGCAGCACAGGGCAGCTGCGAACCCACACACAGGGGCTGCCATGCTGACTCAGGTTGGCACCCTGCTTATGATCTGAAATGGAAAACCCAACACACAGCTGCGCCGTGTCAGCCCACATGTGGCTTCAAAGTACAGCAAGTTCAGGGTGAACTACCAAGTGCAAAGATTCTGGAGAAGAGGCTTAGGCGGAATGATTTCCACAGTGTTCTGTTTCCAGGTTGATGGTGTTGCCAGGAGCTCCGGAGTGGGAGAGAGGACTTCCTAGTTCTATTAAGGAAAAATCTGAAATTTTTCAGAAAACAAAAGAGAAATAATACTGCAATTCGAATTGGTATGGATTGGTTGATATTACTTTTTTTAGGGGAGAAGTATCAGCTGTTACGCAAAATATGATATAGCAAAAAAAAAAAACGGTTTTTAAAAATCAATCATTTAAAACAGATTATCACCCATAGGTCAAACCCAGCCCTCCACCTTTTCTGTCAATAGCTTTTCCTTGCCACCCAGCATACTCATGCCATAGATGTTTAACTTGTGCAACAGCAGCAGAGAAGTGGGGTGACTTCAGAGCCCACAAGCTTGAAATATTTTCTCTCCAACATTTCATAGAAAATTTTACCAACCCCTCGTTTAAAATGGGAATCTATGGTCTCTACAAAGCAAAAACAGGTTTAGGAATATGCTTGAAATTAGAGTGAACAATAAAAGGAAAGAAAGCCTTCATTTGTTCCTTTCAAAAATATTCAAGGACCTAGTTTGTCCCAGACAGACCCTGGCCAACCATGCAAAAATAACCCGAAACACAGACAAAAGCCCCTGTCCTCAGACAACTTACCTGCCCTGGGGACCTTAGCACTCCTCGGCTCACCACTATAAAGTACACGTATTTTGAAATGAGATCTTTAAGGGGACAGTGAAGGATGAAATGTTTCAGGTGTTAAGAAGGAGCTCAGTGCTTCTTCAGCTTAGTCAATACTGTGTAATGAAGCAGCTGCCAATGGCATGAAAGAACATTTGTCAGCTTGCATGAAGGAGACCCAGGAAGACCTCCAGTTCCAGTGTAAACAAGGAAAGGCGGTTCAGGCTCAATAAGGTTGAAGCGAACACTGGAGCCAGTTCACATGGTCGCTGAAAGGGATTTGCAGCATGGAGTTGATCTGAATAAACTGATCAGTGTGTAGAAAATGGGCTGCAGCAACATGGATGGAAGGCAAGCTACACATTTTACACACACGTGGTTACGCTGAAGTTTTTATCTGTGAGCAAAGAAAAAAAAAAGAACACCAGAACCTCCAGTAGCGTTCATTCATGCCCCTGGAGAAAGCTGATGATGTAGCGAGAGACATTTCCAAGCAGAAGGAAGGAAGGAATTTTAAGGTATCCCTTGCAAAATGCCTCTGGAGCATGCATTGTGGTGTACTGTGTTCATTTGGGTTTACCTTTTCTTGGGGACTATAGAAATTAGGGCATTGCATAAAATGAATCTTAGAAGTTCAAGTGTCTGGTAAATCAACCGGGGTAGTGAAATTAATTTCCAAATCTGAATTTATCTTTTGTTCGAAAAGAAGTTAAATATTTCAGGAATTCATGCAACAGGCTGAAACGTGAAGCAATCTATAATCACTTCTTTTTTCTTTTTTTCTTTTATTATTTATTAGCTGAGTAGAGTGATAAACATTCCAAAACTATTTTGGACAGAGTAGAAGAATCGCGCCAAAAAATAATCATGGAAGTTTTCGTAGTTAAGACATCATCCTTTTAAACGAGTGAATGAAAGAAAAACTTGGGAATCCCTTTTCTTGGAGAAAATAATGTATCAGTGGTGTTTGTTAGGAAGAATTGATGCTCAGCTAGTAAATTTAAATCTGGATTTTAAGAGCACAAGCATGAAATTTGTTTTAAGATTTTGCTGATGTAAGATAATGTTGATTGACTGATTGACTGGACTGATAAGATAGACATATCAATAAAAATAAGCGCAGATGTAGAATAAACCGTGTATTTAACAAACCAAAACATCAAGACTAGAGATAACAGATGATTTACAGAGGGTCCTGCAACCTCATCTTCCTGAGAATGGCAGAGTTTGGTTTCCTTGTGACTGCGCCCAGACAGTCAATAGGCTGATTCCTTGGCATCTCCTAAGACGGTCACGATGGCTCGTGCCAGCCACTGCACTGGGCTTCCATTCTGCTTATTGCACAACCAGCCAGAATGCTTATTCTTACTTCCCAGTGTCTTAAAGTGTGCCCTGCAATGCATTTGGCCCTGGGTGGTCATTAGGAATAATTTGATAACCAAAGTGATGGACCTTGAAGGAAGGAGGTTTCCGTGAAAGTGACCATGAAAACGAGAGCAGCTGGGGTTCTCCTGGCCCAGTCTCACCCCTCACACTGACCTCTTCCAGGCAGCGGTTTTCACGCAGACACCCAAATCTGCTCTGAACACTCCAAGGCCTGCCGTGCTGAGAGCAACTGGGCATTGTTCCTGGAAGGGGATGAGATTTATTAGAAATAATCCTGTTGTTTTTATTAGCCTATTCTGCCTCTTCCAAGATTTGTGAAAACGCCATCTGAAAGGCCTGGCTCTGACATCTCCCACAAAAGCTCTCCCTTGCTGAGTGAAGGTCCCCTTATATGGACATCTGCTGCAAACAAGATTCAGGAATCTGGGGCCACCACCAGTGTCCTATCAGGCTCCACCTTGGCTGGGAGTGTTGCAAAACCCCATGCTATAGATGACGAAACTGGAGTTCGGAAAGTCCAAGTCACCTCACCTCTTGTTTCCCAAGCCACCCTCGGGGAACAACCTCAGTGGGACCCTTTGTCACCCAGTGTACAGGGACTGATGCAAGGGACTGTTGATTCACCCCAGGCGCCCACCCTCTGAGTGGGCCTCTGCATGACTGGCATGTTTACAGGCCCTCAAGTTCCTAGGAGCCCAGGTCACACCCGCAGAGGAGCTACCTCCTGCTTCTCCAGACACTGAGTGTTGCTGACTGCCCTCCACCCTGGACTCCCCCCTCCAGCCCACTACAACCCACTCTGGCCTCTCCTGCCGCCATTACAGCTCCTCAGTCCTCCAGTCTCTACCTTCTGTTACCTTTGGCTTTCTCTATTCTATACCATTGACTAGAATGTTCCCCCAACCTGGCTGGTCACCACTCATCCATCCTTCAGATCCCACTTAAGTCTCTCTTCCTCTGGGCAGTCATCTCCACCCCTCTTCACCTGCTGGGCTGGGGGAGACTTGGGACCCTGTAGCATCCTGTGCTGTCTCCAGCCAGGAGCACCCAGGAGCCACTGACTTGCCTGTAAGCACCAAAGCTATGCTATGTTGCCATAGGGCCCGAGGGCCTGGGCTCTGGAGACAGCAGGTCAGAGTTTAAGTCTCAACTCTGTCCCTTACCAGCTCTGAGACCCTGAGCAAGTCGCTTCATTTCTCTGTGCCTCCATCTCTCACTCAGAAAAACAAGAGTAATAATCTTTCCAGCCTGTAATGTTATAGCCAATCTAAGAGGTAAAACAAGCAAGAAGATTCCTGAGACAATACCAGGTGCACAGCAACCGTATTGTCTGTTATAACAGGCATCAACCATCTCTGGCTCACCCCTTCGCTAGACTGAGTTCAACTGTGGAAGTGGTGTCTTAATTATCTCCTAGCACATCATCGGGCACATAGTAGGTGCTCAGTGAATGTTTGCAGAATGAATGAAGGAGTGATCGGGGCCAAAGCCCTGTCAAGGCCTCTCCCACAGTTGACCTTCTCTGGGGCCTGCTGTGGTTTCCACAGAATTGGGGCCCATGGGGTGGTGCTGATTTGCTGGGACGTCCTCCTGTGGGAGAGGAGACCGGCCTCTGCTTGTCTTGGTGCTGAGCAATCCCTGCAAACACAGCATCGGAGTGGTGCAGCTCAAGGGATGTGTGGACAAGACTATTCCTTGTCTAACCAGGTGTTCACTTATTGCCATGGAAATTGATGTCCCCCCACCCCTTGCTGGAAGGTCCCAGGGGTTCAGGCCCAGACAGCAGCCTCACTGGCTGCTCTGAGGCAAATTGACGTCCCCCCACCCCTTGCTGGAAGGTCCCAGGGGTTCAGGCCCAGACAGCAGCCTCACTTACTGCGCTGAGGCACTGAATTGCTCTCCACCAGGGCTCTGGCCTGCAGGCCTGGGGCTAGCTGTTTTGTGCTCCTGCCAGGGGCCAACTCTGCCTCATCTCAGTGCTGCAGAACTGTCCAGACCACTCCCAGTGGAAATCATACCTCACCAGTCTCAGCTTCCATAGTCCCATATCGGCCCTGTTGTCCCACTTTATGGAACCTCAGTTTCATTATCTGTAAAGCAGATAACTCCCACTTCAAAGGGAGTGTGTGATGATCGAGTGACTCAAGCAAAGTCTTCATATCCAAAGCATTTGCTTATTAACCACATTGGAAGTTTCTTGAAGCCAGGGCTCCTCTGTTTTCAATACTATCTGCTTTTGCTCTTTAGCACAGCAATTGACTCATTGAACGCATGCAACAAGTGTTTACTCAGTGGACCCATTAATCAAAAAAAAATCAGCAGTAATCACAGCTGTTACACAGAGGAATCATCTATATGGAATTTTCTTTCTTTCTTTTCCTCTTTAGTCTTTTACTTTTAATCATGTTCAAGTTAGAAATGGCCAAATCAGTGTGTGCTGAATTCGCAGTGCATAGTGTATTCAAAAGTGTATTCAAAATACCTCTTATGAGCAAGAGAACTTGAACCTGGGAGTAGAACACATGTATGTGCTCATACCCTGGGAGTGACGGGCAGAGAGGAGTGAGTGCTGGTAACTCTCCCCCACATGTGATGTGGGCACTAGCTACAATGTGCCAGCACACTTGTCCTCTTACCTCATCCTGGCCCTTCTCTCCCTGACAGCCATATGTCACCACCTGTACCCAGTGTCACCAAACTAAGTGATCATCACCAGATCCTGACAAACAGAATTTTCTCTTCCCACAGAACCCTGTAGAAACCAACAGGGAAAGCATGAGAGCTTCGTACTGGGGAGCAGGGAGCGGGATGGGGGGTCACTGCCTGATTTCTTCTGAGCCCTGGACACCCAGAGAGACGAGCTCATGTATGCTTTGGAAAAGCTGTCCTCCTCTCTCCTGACACTCACAGAGGCCAGTTACTTTCACTGGGTGCCTGTCGCCACCCTCCTGTGCCCTGAGCTCTGGAGGTGAAGCCCAGATGCCTTTCAAAGTGGTGCCCACCAGAAATTGCCCCATCCTCCTGATCAGACCTACCTGCCTGCCCGACCCAGACCTGTCCTAGTCGTCATGGGTGAGGCTCAGATCAGACAGTTGCAACTAGCTTAGGAGAAAGGAACTGACTCGCCTGAGAGTGAGCATAAGCCAAGACCAGGCCGCCCAGGAGAGCCAGGGCAGGTCAGTTGAGCAGCTGAGAGCCAAGCATAGCCGCCTGGCCCAGAAAATGCCCTATCCCCAGGGAGACTGCTGCCAGTGCCAGGCAGAGACCTTAGCAGCTCTTCTCCCCTCTTGTTCTCTCGTCTCACAGCCCTTCCTAGAAGTGTGCTGGCTCTCAGGCCTCCCCCACACCGGGATGCAGGCACCTACCCAGCCGGAGAGGCACGCCTGCCGCTCTGCCTGGAAGGAAGCCGGCATGACACAGGGGGCTTCATGACTGAGAATACAGGGCATGTTGTACACACATCGGAAGTCATTTTAGATGCCTTTGGAGTGAATTTGTACCATAGAGCAACCTCAAAGACAAATATGGGTGAAGGAAATCGCTAAGGGAATCCTAAAATTGGGTCACATTCAGAATCCACATCCCCGGAAATGCTTTCCAACTTGGTTACCAATGCCCACGATCTGCCTCAGTGTCACCCTCCGCTCCACCCAGAGCACAAGGAAGATCCTTCAAAGAAGGCCCTGCTATCGTCTCCAGGTCTTCTTTAAAGTGCTGCAATCATCCACAAAACTTGAAGTGCAGGCAGTGAAATTTTATCATGAACGCCTCTGGCCCGATAGCGACTGAGAGGCGAGCCCCATTTTCAGGGACGATCGAAAGAAATAGAATGTGCACTTAAAAGCAGAAACTCCTGAGTAACAGTGACAGAGCTGACAGGTCTTTAACAGTCAGAAGGTTCCAAAACTGTGCTAAGCATGCAGCTTGCACGTAAAGGAGGTAATAACAGGGGTAATAACAGGATCTAGCCTTGTACAGAGCTGGCTGTGTGCCAGACGCTGGTGGGAGCTTCTGCATATTCACTTACTTAGTCCTCCCCACCCCCGATGAACTAAACACCTCCATTCTCCCACTTTGCCCATGAAGATGCTGTGAATAAGTTACTTGCACAAAGTTACATTGTTTAAACATAGGAAAACTAGGATTTGAATGCAGATGTCCTGTTCTAGAGGCTACACTCACCTTCTCCGCTAAATATAGTTCTGGAATGTTCCTACTGGGCACAGAAGGGAACTGAAGCTTCGAAGAGATAAAACCTCCCCCAAAGCTCAGTAGTACAAGGGCTGAGATTCAAATCTGCAGTCCATGCTGTTTGCCAGTTTACTATCCTGTTATAGAATACAAACTCCAGATAGGTGGAGTTCATCTTGTAATTTAGAACCCCATGGGACATCATTTTGATGAAGTTTAGCTTGCTTTCTTTTCTCTCAAAGATGCAAGTGGTATAACGTCCTCCTAGTAAGCTGTAGAAGGCATCACTCATTCATTCATTTATTTAGTCACTAAATAAGTACTGTTGAAATGTCTGTGATGGGCAAAGTCCTAAGCTATAGTGTCCCAGGAGCTTACCATGTAGAAGAAATAACAGACGTTGTACCTGTGATTAAAAGTGTGGCCAAGAGACAAGTGAAACCCCTTCTGCCATGGAGGAGTATGGTCCAGAGAAGCGGAGAGCGAAGGAAAGGCCCCAGCCAAACCACTTGTTGGACCCTCAAAGAAACTGAAAGAACAGTGTTGGTTAATTAATTCAAAATCAGTATTTTTGCCTTCTCGTGATGTAACTCCCTCCACCTCTCTAAAGCTTCAGTAGACTTTGCCACACACTCAAAAGCTTTTGTAATGACTTTCAGTGGGAACTGAGAAAGGAATTTGAGTTCCCCATCCACGTGAGGATGGACAGAGGAGAAACTATACAAGAGAAGAGTCTACTTAAACTGGGGGGAGGTTGTCAGGGAGGCCTACCATATTTAAACTCAAGCTTCACTCATCTGCTAAGGCTTCTCAGAGCTCTGAGCTCCAAAACACAAGCTCCTCGACTTTTCTAACCCTTGTAAAATCCAGAGCCTTAAAGGATGCCGGGCACATATCAGGTGCTCAGAAAAATGTGTTTTTGATGAGTATACAAAAGACCTCAGTAGCCCTTCAATATCTCTCCCAGGTATATTTCCCCCTTAACATTCCCTGATGCCTTCACCTAGTACGTGCTCAATTAACAAGAACCTTTCTCCATAGTTTCGATAATCTCCTCCCAGTGAAACTACAGACCAAAGAGGTAGAAACAGGTAAGGCCCTGCATGTGTGACACCAAACTCTCCTTCAAAAGAGATACAGAGTTCATTCTGGTCAGGTTATTCTAGGAGAATGTCTAGAATGATCTTGACTGTTCTTGCCAACACCTCTTCCATTGTCCTTCACAAAAAGATAAGGCAAGGAAGACCCAGCTCACCTGGAGCTCACCCTTGATCACAGCACCTTGCAGCAACGATGATGGGAAGTTCTTCCAGGTGTCTAATCTAAATTCTCTCTGCTGCGATTCAATCCCATTCCCACCCCTCTACCTCACCCCCACCCCCAGATAAGAATGAAAACAACAGATGCCAAGCTTCTCCTCCTCTTGGGGCTTCTGTCTTCAGTTACCACACCAGCCTGAGATAAGCCTCACAGAACAGGCTTCCTATCTCCCTGGGCGTTGCCTCCACACAGTCACTCTTCAGCCCCTGCCCAGAATCATGGAAGACCAAAAGCTTTAGGGGAGTCTTCTCTGAGGGGAAAGGTGAAAGTTAAAAGCTGGCAGTGTCTCCCAGATGATTCCTTCTTAGGAAGTGGCAACAAGTGACACTTGGGAGACTGTTGCCTCACCTGAGAGGACCCTCAGGTCAGGCAGCCATCCTAGCAGCCTGCAGTGTCTGCCCTGGTCCTTCTCTGCTCCCGGGATGATCCCAATGCAAAGACACCCCAGAGGAGTCTTCCCTCTGGCGTGGAGAGGGACAAGGACAGCAAGAGCTGTTCTCTGGACCGCACCGGTAGCTTGTCTGGGGGCCGTGGAACACAGAACAAACCTAAGAGATGGTTGATGACTAAACAATTGAAAAAAATAAATGAATGTGAGTGTGAGTGAATGAATTAGCACATGATTAAATGGATCAATGAAGCAGGGTAGAATAGAAGGGCTAAAACCTGAACTCTGCAGAAAGAAAATAATGGTCATTAGAGGCAATAAAGAAAAAGAGGGAGGGGCTGGGGAGAGAAAGCAGGTAGGGAATGGGCATGGGGAGTTTAGTGGAGGGAAAATAATAATGGATCAATACAGGGGTTAATTTCAAAATGAATCAGAATGAATAAACGAGTGAGGGCATGAAGGAGTAAACTTCTAACTTACTAGATGAATACAGGGAAGGACAGAGTAGCAAAGCAGTTTAAATGGGGGCCCTCCCTGGTGGTGCAACGGATTAAAGCACAGCACTACAAAGCTGTCCACAGCCACTGCAGCACGAGTTCAATCCCCAGCCAGGGAGCCGAACCACATGGCACCGCAGACCTCTCCTGTCTCCCCGCTGCTCCCCTCAGCAGTGTGTTTCAGTAGATCTGCCTGTTCGGCTCCCCACTCTGTCTCTGGGGAAGCCTCTCACCACCCCCTCACATATCTCTGGCCTGTACCCCAGTTCTTGTATGCATAAATAAATCTTTTTTTAAAAAAAAAAGCAATTAAAACAGTGCTGATTGAGTACGTGGAAAAAAAAACCCATAAATATGTGAATGAACTGACTTTATGGAGGATGGAGGGAGGGCTGAGTTAAGGCAGCAATGACTGAATGAAGAATAACTTCCTTCACTTCTCAAGAGAAAAACTAGAAAACTAAATGATGGGCTCTAGGCGGCCTGAAGCCTGTCGCAGCCTGGGCACTTTCCCCAGCCCGGGCACTTTCCCCAGCCCGGGCAGTGCCCTCCACAGAATAAGAATTCTTGTAGGCACGTGTTGGATGAACACATGGATGGATACATGGGCATCTTCCTGTGTAATATGTGGTACTAGAATATGCACCTGATGGAGACTTTCCAACATCAAGGTCCCTGGTGTGAAAACACTTTCACTCTGGAGTTACATGGACGCGGCTTTAAGTCCCAGCTTTGCCATTCCCTGAACTGTGCAGGGTGTCAAGTGGCAGTTAAACTCTTGGAGCTTCAATTTCTTCTTCTACAGAGTGGAGGCAATTGTTCCCACCCCACGGTGCTTCAGTGGAGATTAAAGGAGACGTTCGTCGAAGACTCCTGATGAATGGAACTTTCCTTCCCTCAACTCCCTCTTCTGTCCTGTATCTGTCCAAAGCCCTCTGGCTCTATTGTTCTTGGAGGCCCTGCCCTCTGTGAGTTGTCTCTAGGGGACAGATAAAAGTGGAAGAACTCTACTAGGAAGTGAAATGATGAAAGTGTTAGGCCAAACTATATGAAATTACAATTCTGCTGTTTATGACTAAAACACAAGCAACTTCTCATGTTTCAATTGCAGTAGCTGGAAATAGAAGTGATGTGTGTGGGAAGACAAAGAAAGGAGCTGAAGACTCATCTGAGAGAAGGTCAAAGCGGTCTGGAAAAAACTGAAGGGATTTGATGAGTTCCTCTATCAGCTGAGAATGGAACTCACCATTTTCAGGAAAAAGGCATTTTCTGAAAGGACACTGAGAAGCTCAGTGGTTTTTCTGGGAGACCGAACAGAACCTGACTCAGAAAACCGAGGGGATATGGCCATAGTCAGGGGCAGAGGCAGGGACAGGATCATCCAGGATGGGGGCGCTGATGGAGCTCTCTGGAGACAATGAAGTCATGCTGAAGACACCAGGGGCTTCCCCGGGTGGCTTAGCATTAACTCTCAGGGCTATCACTGTTGCAACTGAGTTCGATTCCCGGCCAGGGAGTGACCCACATGGTGCAGCAGACCTCGCCTGTCTCCCTGCTGCTTCCCTCAGCAGTGTACGTCAGGCACTCCACCTGTTCTGCTCCCCACTCTGTCTCTGATGAATCCTCTCACCACCACCCCACACCTCTGGTCTACACTCCAGTTCTTATATGCATAAATAAATAAAAAAATAAAAATCTTTTAAAAAAGGCACCAGGGGTACAGCTGCCCTTACTGCCTTCGGGGAAATGGACGTGGCAACCACCCCCAAAGAGGACCCCTGCTTAGTTATCTCACTAGCTCCAAATTCACAGCCCAGGGCACATTTATCTAATAGTCAGTCGTGTGTCAGCACAGGAGGCTGAAACCTTGAGCAGTCTGTGGTCTGGTTCAGATATTGACCACAGGGATGCAGGAGAGCAACTTTGGCCGTCAAAACTTGGAGAGCAATTGTCTAAGCCAAGAGATGCTGGGCTGTGGGCCAAAAGCAAAGGGCTGAGGGGTGACAGATGGATCTTCTCCTATCTGAGTGTTGGGTATGAGGTCAAGGCTTCTCTGGGGGTGTGAAAACCAGAGACCTGAGAAAGGCAAGCATGATGTGGTGAATGGGAGTATCATTGGGAACAGTTTTCTTATTGAAAAGAAGGAATGCAATTTTGGGATGAGGGGGGAAATGCTCACTGCTACATCCTTTCCTTTTTCTTTCCAAGAAAATAAAAAAAAAAAGGGGGTGCTTACTTCTGTATTTTTGTCCTATCACTGCTGCAACAAGTTTCCTCAGCTTGAGTGTCTTGCAACAACACAAATTCATAATCTTGCAGTTCTGGAGTGTAAAAGCACAGTGTCTGCAGGATTGGTGCCTTCTGGAAGCTCTGGGAGAGAAATCAATTCCTGGCCACTTCCATTTTCTCCAGGCTGCCTGCATTGCTGGGCTCAGCAACCCTACCTGAGCCTCAAAGCCAGGCTCTCGTCTTTGTTTCCCCCATCACGTTTCCTTCTGTGAGTCTGAAGCTCCTGCTCCAAATGATTACAAGAGACCCACCTGCTTAATCTAGCATACTCTTCCCATGTCAAAACCCTTTAGTTTAGCCATGGAAGGTCACACATTCACAGATTCAGGGATTAGGACCTGGACATCTCAGGGGAAGGAGGCATTTTCCTGCCTTCCCAAGAAGACACAGTGTCTTCTTTAGTTAAGGAAAGTCAAAAAAAAAAAAAAAGGAAAGAATGAGAAAATGCTGGAAATTGACCCACAATGCCAAAGGCTGCCTGTGGGGAAGTCTCATCAAGGTGCTTTTCACATCTCTTGCCTGATCCAGACAACATCCCCAAATATTTGGGGAGCATCGAATTAACTACAAGAAGCTGACAGCTGGTGCCTCTAAGTACTCCTGGGCATATGGACACCATCATGGGTGGGTCCCCTTTCCTCCCGAGGTGACAAGGGTGCTCACACTCACCTCTGCATGTTATTCTTCTTATTCACTTGCCATTGTATTCATGGTCCCAGCATTTTCTTCAGGACATAGGACTACTTTGTCATCTGAGTAACAGACTTGCAAAGATCTAGGTTTCAAGGAAAAGAGTCATGCAGGAAATGCCTTTCACAACGAAGAGCGGACGCCACTTTTGCTAAAGTTCATCAGCGTTTCCCATCTGAGGGGCCCCTCCCTATAGCTTCTTCCTACCCCAGACTCCAGCTCCAGTGGCCTGCTGCCCCTCTCTTAAGTGGGCTTTCCAGGGCGGGATTCAATAGAGCAAAGTTACCTCAGAAAGTTATTTTAGGAGCAGTGAAGGCTGCATGACACCAGCAGAATAGGCGGGGGTCCCTATTCTCACGGGTGATGGAGTAGTGGGGCACAGGAAGGTGGAACTCTGGGGGGGGCCATTCCCCATCTCTGTGGTCCTTACACAAGTCAGAAAAAGGCGCCCCCTCTGGTCTGACAGGGTAATAAAGGTTGCCCATTCCGCCTGGGGTGTGGCGAGAGCTGCCTTGAACAGGGTTCACACAGACCCCTTCAACTCCTTGTCAGGCACCTTGTTGCAGTGCTAAAGCCGGGTCATAGTATGGCTCCCTGGAGACAGCTGGGTGATGGTGGAGAGTGAAGGGAATATTTTTATTATTATAGTTTATTTATTATAGTTTATTTTTACATCATTTTGTGCCTTTTTCCATCTCACTTGTAATCCCCATGGGCTTCCCATCACCAAATCATCCGTGCACTCCCCTCCCCCTATTTTTGATCCCATTCTCCACTCCACCCTATAAAATGTCTCTGGTATGTAATTGTTCATTATTATTATTTTCCCCTGGTCCTTTATGCTCCTGCTATGAGTGAAACCATCCAGTAATTTTTCTTTCTGGCTTATTTCATTAAGCATGATCCTTTCCAGCTCCATCCATGTTGCTGCAAAAAAGCATGAATTTATCTTTTTTGATCACTGAGTAATATTCCACTGTGTATCTTTTTAATTCACTCATCTACTTTTGGGCATTTGGGTTGATTCCATATCTTTCCTATTGTAAATAAAGCAGCAATAAACATGGGTTATTGCAGTAAACATGCAGGTATCTTTTTGAATCAGTGTTTTTGTCTTTTGGGTAGATACCTAGGAGTGGGATTGCTGGGTCATATGGAAGTTCCTTTATTAGCAGTTTGAGAAACCTCCAGTTTTCCATAGTGGTTGTACCAGTTTGCATTCCCACCAGCAGTGCAGGAGAGTTCCTTTTTCGGAGAGTGGAGGGAATATTAAACTTATAGCTCTGACTATTCAGACACCACATGCCACAGAGAGACTCAGATTCAAGCTCTACCCTCATCGAGAAGAGATCCTGATCAACTCTGGTATGCCCCTGAGCCAGAGATTCCTCCTCTGTCATGAGATGCACACAAGCCTTTTGATGACTAAATATAGCAAGATAGCCAGCCTGGCACAAAACCTTGCCCATTGTAGATGGCAAATACACATTCACTCTGGGCCTGCCTCTTCTCGCTCCAGTCCCATGGAGCACCAGGAAGGAAGATATGTCAGCAAGTTTCTCCAGAGGAAATAGCCTGTCCACACCACAGTCCTGACCAAAGCCTCCCCTGCCATCTTGGCAGGAACCACAGCTGTCATCAAAGGCGTCCCTCTGTTTTCTGGGCTTGGGCTGCTTCCAGGTGGGGCAAGTTTTTTAGGCCTGATCTTCTCACATCATGGAGCTGGGTGTTGAGATGTTATTCCCCAGAGGCCTTGTTTTTAGAAACAGCCCACACTTCCCTCAGAGACAAGTCAGAGAGTTCACACACTCTGCCCATTGGTTGTGTAGCCCTTAGAAACATCTCTACACTCTCCTCGGCCTCGAAGTATTAAGAAAATTAGATGATCTCTCTGGTCTGGTGGAGAAAGGACAGACCGCAGATCAGGACCTCTGCTCAACTTCTTGTTCAAATTGAGTCAGCCACTAATGGCCCACAATTTGATCAGTGACAGAAGTGAGAGAGATTCTGGAATGTCAACCATATTCACGTGCTAGGACAGCAGCACACCAGGGTGATGGTGGAGAATGGAGGGAATATCAACCTTATAGCTCTGACTGTTAGAGGACCCAGAGGTCCAAGAGGACCCAGACAGGCCTTGTTCTAAATACCTCGTTGTCCAGGCATTCGTTGTATCCTTTGTGGTAAGCCAGTAAAGTGTTCTCCGGAGTTTTGTGGGCCATTCTCGCAAACAATCAAACCTGAAAAGGGAAACTTTGTAACCAAGTTGGGCAGAAATAGGGGTGATCTGGGCAGTCTTGTGGGACTGAGCCCCTCAACCTGTGGAGTCTGGGGCTCTATTCTGGGTTATTAGTGTCAGAATTGAACTGTATGACGCCCAACTGTGGGTTAAAAAGTGGTGAGTGTC